CTCTGTGTAGCCCTGGCTGTCCTGGAACTCACTCTGTAGACCAGGCTAGCCTTGAACTCTCGAAGTCAGAAATCCGCCTGCCTCTGCCTCCCAAGTGCTGGGATTAAAGGCGTGCGCCACCACCGCCCGGCAACTCTGACATTTTTGACTTAGGGAACCAACCACTGCACACGTGCGTTTTTCTCCCAGTTTGAGAATAGATTTCGCTACCTCAGCTTCCAGCGCAGTGCTCTGGGGGAGCACTTAGTTAACAAGAAGTTAAAATGTTCGTGGGCTGCTGCAAACCCCCTTCCCATCAACCGTCTGCTGGAGCAGAAATCGGCGCCCCCGAGGCTCCCCTTCCGCACCACACAAAAGGGACGATACAGGAATGTGGGTAACACAGGGTGAGAGGCCCCGGCTGCGGGTGCCCCCGGGAACCTCCCACTCCTCTCCGAGGCCGCACTCCCTCGGTCCCACCCGCCCCAGCCTGTGGGCCGCGGATTTCTGCACGCGCCGCGGCGAACTCTAGGACTCAGACTTGAACGCCACGCGGAGAGCCCCAGCGCGCTTCGGTCTGGCCCTGCCACGCGGCGCCGCGCGAGTGGCACCCCGTCGCACCCTGTGTTCTGGAGGCACGGTGAAGAAACCTTCCTTACGGATACACTTCAGTCGGATCTGATCCGACTCCGGCTCCACCTCCGCCATGCTCAAGCCGGTGCCGCCCCGCTGCCCTCTGCCAGCGCGCAGGCGTAACGCCCCTCGGCGCAGGCGCGTAGCGTAGTTCCGGTTTGTTCTGGACTTGGCCAACGCCTAAGCCTCTCGTGGGGAGTAGGGTCTGCCCAGAGCACAGAGGTTCCGGCGTCTTTTCAGCGTTAGATGAAGACCTAATTCCACAACCTGCAGAAGACTCAGATTGGTTTTGATCATCTAGAAGAAAGTGTTTCTCTTTCCTGTTTCCCTCTCAAGTGAGACCAATTCCAGAGATCTCTTCCAGGAGACTATCACAAATGAGAGCTATGCTTTCTCATAGTGGTTGGGTACATTATGCCCCGAAAGCTGGCTCTCTGGGAACCCAGTCCTTCCTGAGGCCAACCTCGTTCCCATCACTAGCCAAGGACAACACAGGAGGAAGCCTTGTACAGCCACGCCATCCTACACGAGAGAAGAGCTGCGTTTCCTGCTCTTCCTTTCCACTCTGCATTTGTCTTCCTGAGTTGGGGAGAGTTGCTTGGTTCTGAACACAACTAGGAATTAATGTACTGACCACTGGAGAGCAACTCTAGCCCAAGTGGATCTGCGAGGCTCCACTCAGCTCTTTTACTGTGCAATGGAACTCGGAATACCGATCGGCTCTGATCCTCTGAGGGATTTTATAGATTAGGAAGATAAATGTTCCTGCTTCTAAATGGCCCGAGTGCAGGCCCATGTGGGTACTGTGCTTAGGTTAACGCTAAGCAGATTAGTTGGTGTTTGGACATGGTGGCATATGCCTGTAATCATAGCACTCTGGAGACTGAGGCCAGAAGGTTCTGGGTTCAAAGCTAGAATGGTGTGTATAGACTATTTCAAAACAAAAGAAGGGTCTCAGTAGTAAATCATAATAATACTGTAAGATTTCTAACAGATTGTTTGCCATTTTACATTTCTTTTTAACTTTGAAATTCAGTTTTCCTCTGGGCACACTGTCACACCCTGTAATTGCAGTCGTCAGGAGGCTACGTGTTCAAGGCTGGCCTGGGCTATATAGTGAGTTCCAATACAGACTGGATTGGATATGAGACCTTATCCCTGTCTCAAAAGCAATCAAGCTGGGATTGCAGCTCAGTGGTGGAACGCCTGCCTAGCATTGTGTGAAGTCCTAGACTCACTCCTTAGCACTACAAACAAATCATTTTTTAAAGTTAGTGGCTTACAGACAGTTCCAGTAGGCTCCTTCCAGGAACCCAGCAACCTAGTAATAGCTTACGTCATCATCTCCCGTTATGTGAGACCTGGGCCTATACGAGGACTGCTTGCACCCCAGATCTCTCTCCAGCTCCTATTCTCTCTCTCTCCTTCGTTTCTTCTTTCTCTGTCCCCATGTGTTTCTGGCTGGCCTCCTCCCTTTTCTCTCTTCCTTCCTCTCTTTCTGTCTTCCCCCCACCCCTCACTTTCTTTGGCTCTGCCCCTTCCCTGCTCCACTCCACTTCCCAATAAACTTTCTTTATAGTAGGCCTGTGGCATTGTGTGGGAATCCTCATCATGGGCCCACCATGATGGAGGAACAGGGGACCCTTCCTGTTGCATTATACCACATCATAAAACACAACAAAATTCATTTATGTGTATGAATGTGTGTGTGTGCATGTATCAGGACTACAATTATATACTAGATAAGGTAGTATGTATTGTATATACTAGCTGATACGATGTATATATTAGAAACTGTTGGCATGTGTTATAAGCAGCAGATCCCCTCACCCTAGTACAGGAGAAGGTTGTGTTTGTGATCCTGGTGGGCATACCACTGTCTCTGGTTAGCTCACAGAGGCCGATTTTGTCTCATGGCCAACATGTATGGCATTCCTAGTGGTCCTTTGCTATAAAGACCCTTCATCCACGGGTCCAGAAGACAAGACAGCATTCATAAGCTACTGCCAAAGTCCCCAGTGCCCCAGTGCCTCCTCAGCTCCAGGGCACATACATCCTTTTGTATCAGTAACAAGTCTCGTAACAAGCTAGGATCCCACAGCCCTGGGTCGTCTCTGTTCTTGAATTGGGGGTGTGGCATTTACTGATGTTTGACTGCACCCACCTTCAGATGCAAATGCCCCCAAGTCACCCTGTGAGCGTCTACCTGCTGTCTAGCACTGCACAGCTGGCTGTCTCCAACACACATGCCAGTCAGACCTTCAGGACTTCTAGATTCACCCTCTGAGCCAGCCACCCTCTCCCCATCAAGCTGAAACTGACTTTGGGAAAGCTAGTCACCGAGACAGAACTTGAAAAGCTGGAGACAGATGGCCATTCAGCTGCAGCTCAGGGAGGGGTGGCCCTTCTGTCAGCTGAGCTGAGACTCCGGTCACAGTAAAGGATCACAGCTACCGAGAGCTCTCATTTATTCTGTGTTGTGTACATCATAGGCTGCTATTGTGCTGGGGCTCCTGTGTCGGTAGTAAGGGCCCCAGTCGGCGTGCTCCCGAATGGTCCTCTGCTCTTCACTGTCAGGGATGCCATAGCTGATAAGCGTCTCGTTCGAGGCCCGGGTGATGATGATCTGTGGAATGACACTTCTCTTCTTGCTTGACCTGTGCTTTGTCTCAGGCTTGTCTAGAGAGAAGAGAACATCCGGCCAGTTAGTGGATGTGGGGAAACGTCTTCCACAGTCAAGACAAAGCCGGTCTTAGCTCACAGTACAGGGAACAGATTCATGGCCGGCAAGAAAAACAAAACAAACAAGCAAACAAAGGAAAAAACTGTGCGTGACTCAGATCGGCAGGCTCAGGGGGTCAGGCTATGCGTACTGGATACACTCATGCAAGGCAGACGCAGAGACGACTCTACGTCTCATTGCAAGACGGCTTCATGAGGACAAGTGCAGGACTCTGCATTCTGTTAGTCTTTAATACAGACAAGCTAGGATCCCACCAGTCCTGAGGCTTCGGGGTTCTTCAACTTAACAGTTCTCATCCTTGTCTTTTCCCAGACTTAGGGGCGTGCCATTTATTTATTTATTTATTTATTTATTTATTTATTTATTTATTTATTATGTATGAGTGCTCTATCTGCGTGTGCCAGAAGAGGGTATCAGATCACATATCACATGTGGTTGCTAGGAATTGAACTCAGGCAGGACCTCTGAAAGAGCAGCCAGTGCTCTTAACCTGTGAGCCATCACAGAGTTTAAAATTCACAGGGAAGATTTGAAGTGTCCACCTGAGTCACAGTGTGCGGCGGTCGCCTGTTGTCTAGCACTACACAGCTGGCTGTTTCCTATGCACACTCTAGGCAGAGCTTCTGGACCTCCTGGTTTACTCTTTGAGCCAGCCACCCGCCCTCTCCAATCAAGCTAGAAGAAAGTGAATATACCTCTGATACTACTTTCTTTTAAAATTACATTTATTTGTGAACGTGTGTGGGGATTTACATAAGTTATGATGCAGAAGTGGAGGTGAACCGCCAGCTGTGGTAGACAGTTCTCTCACCACCAGGGGACTGGAGACCTAACTCCTCCCACCGTGTGGGTGGAGGCTGGAGACCTAACTCCTCCCACCGTGTGGGTGGGGACTGGAGACCTAATTCAGCCCCTGAGGCTTGGAAGCCAGTGTCTTTTCTCTCTGAGCCGAAGACCCAATGATAACATTTGCTGAGTGAACCTATGTGCCAGGTGTCTTGAGCCTTAGAATAACAGGAAATGCTGGGCATGATGGCATAAGCTTTTAAGTCCATCACTCAGGAGACAACAAGTGAATCTCTATGATTCTAACACCAGCCTGGTCTACATGGTGAGTCCAGGCCAGCCAAGACTACAGAGTGAGGCCCTACCACAAAACAACAACAAATAAAAACAAAACAAAAACCTTGGAAATAAGCACACAACTTCTCACACGGTTCCGGTGACTTATGTTTGTTTTACAGAAACAGACACAGCGACGTTAAGCCACCCAAACAAAGCTTCAGGTATGGAGAGAGGGAAGCGCTGATGTGCAGGCCCTCATGGGAGAGCTCCTCCGCCTTTCCCACTTCATTAGAGCCTCGTTTTACGTAGTTCCCTGAGATAGTTTCTCATAGTCCCCAGCTGACCTCAAAGTCAGTGTACAGCTGAGGATGGCCTTGAACTTGTGGTCATCTGTCTTGTCTGTCTTCTAGAGCTGGGATTACAGGAAGGTGACTGCATGGCTTATGTGGTACTGAGGAGCCACCCCAGAGTGTCTCGTATGTTAGATAACCATTCTACCAACTAAGCAAATTCATCTTAACCACTGCCAAATTACCCTTGACCCACACCAGGCAGCAGGTGCCCTTCCTTTTTCTTTTTATCATTAAGCCAAAACCTACATTTCATCATATTTACCATCAATGTCAGACTGTCAGGTTTGCTATTCCCATTGACTATAAAGGGTACATAACAAAATATATCAAGATAATTTAAAATTTTATGAGTCTTCTTAATTAAAAATGATGACAAGGGCCGGGCGGGGGTGGCACACGCCTTTAATCCCAGCACTTGGGAGGCAGAGGCAGGAGGATTTCTGAGTTCGAGAGTTCGAGGCTAGCCTGTAGACCAGGCTAGCCTCG